AAATTATGCACCCATTATAAGATTTAGAAATCCTAAACCAATCCTTTAAACTGAACAAGAATAACTGTGCATTTAACTCCTCCAAACCTACGTAGTTAATAAAACCACTATATAATTCCCATCCATCCTCCAAAATATGTATCAATATAACTTAATAACATATTTATATATATCGATAATAGGCATTCACTATAGAGCCTAAGAGAATCAAATTCCAATAATGTATACTGCTAAAACAAGTATAAGCATTCACATCCTCCAAGTTGTCCCTAACTGATGCAGTTGAAACGCAAGATGAACATTAACTCGATTCAACACGAGTGTAATTAAAGTTAAGTAAATCATGCTAATTATAAACCTATTTATATATGTTTAATCATAATTAAAACACATACAACGAATCCTCTAGGTTCTATAGTGTAAACAGTTTAACTTTCAAGGTGCATCCTGTAGGTTCTTTGCCTATCTGCGCATTGTCCAAATCCTAATTTAATTTTGAATTTATGTTTCCCTACTATTTAATAGATCTACAACACTTGTCTCCATCCTTTGAATCAATTCAAACCAAATAAAATGCCCCATGCAGTCCAAACAAACCACTAAAACCAATTTTGGACGTCACTGGGTGATTGCAGGCTCTCTCAAAATTGAGAGCCTGCTCAATTTGCAACAAGAGCCGGCTCTATGGCTCTTAGAGCTGGCTCCAAACAGCCAAGAGCCGGCTCCAAGACCTTAGGAGCCGGCTCCAAAGGCAATAGAGCCGGCTCTTCCTTCTTCCGGAGCCTGCTCTTGCTCCTTTGGCTGCCGTTGTCCGCTTCTGCGTCTTCTTCTCCCACTCCGGTGACTAACAGAGGTTTCGTGATGTTTTTAATTCTTGTTCTAGGTTCCATCCTAGTCCTAGAATGATTTTTAAATCTTTGATATCCAAATATAAGGTGTATCGAGCCTAGATCTTGAAGCATCAATCACAGGAACTTGATCTATGATTTAAAGCAACCCACAACAGATTTATTTGGTGATCTTCATTACTATTTTAAGAACTGTTTCTAGGGTTCAAACTAAGTCCAGATTAAACTTTAAACCTCTTAGATCCAACCCTAACATATTTAGAATCTAAGTTTTAAAGCCATGAACACAAAACCTCTGTTGGAAATTTTAAGCAAGTTTTAACAGAGTGAATCTCAAATTAATTTGTGAAATCAAACACTGTACTATGGACTTATTTTAGAGTCTAATCCCAATCCTAGATTAACTACATGGTATCCCAACGAGTTACAATTCTCAATTAAAGACAAGCTTAAATCGTAACTACCGAAAGTACAGATAGCAGAAATATCAACAAGTTTTGCAAAGCAGTTAATTCACGAGAATAAACAAAGTTCATGCATGCAATAGAAAACTCGTTAATATGCTTGTTTAAATCTGTTTTAGCCTTTACCAGAACCCTGGAGTCTAAATAGGCATGCACAGAACACGAATTAAAGGGAAATAGTAAGAACAGTGACTTGCCTTGAGTTTCAGACTTTGAAACTCTAATTCCACAGTTTTTGTATTCTCCCTTGGACTGTTCTGCCTATTCCCCAAGTTCACGCTCTGAGTCTTAGCAGCCCCTTGTGTTACAGACGTAACCTTTTGTTTGTCTAAAACCCTAAACCCCAGTATGTGTATGTATTTATAGACTTAAACATTAACCTTAATCCATAAATAACTTGGCCCTTTGAATATTCTAGGTTTAAAACAGTGTCGGCTAAACTAGAAACATAAAACCCTAAATTCAGATAAATAAAATAAAATAATTAAATTAAAACAAATAAATAATTAAATGCACTAAAATAATTTAAAACAATTAAACCACACCAAAGAAATAAACAAATGCAATTTAACCAATGGATCACATAAAATACAATTTAAACAATTAATTAAATAAAAATACCATTTAAACAATTTATTAAATTCCAAGACTGTCCTTTTAAAATTAGGGGTATTACACAGATGGTCCAAGAGGAATTCAAATTGCAGTCAATCTACACAGAAGCAAATGTTGTGGCTCATAGTTCAGGATCCTGGCTTTACACAACAGGACTAATAATGTCAATTGATAATGCTTTTCCAGTAGAAGTGTTGGAATTGGCCTGTGTAGCAGCACTGGATTGATGTATTATGTTTCTTTCATCTAATCTTATTTTATTTTTTAGCCATGAAAAAAAAAAAAAAAAATACCACTTTGGAGGCACATTCATAAAAAGTTTTCCTTTTCCTAAAAAAATCCAAAACATATATGTATATGTATTTCCTCAAAATCAGATCATAAATCACCACATCAAAGTTTGTAAAATCATTTGCCCGCAAAAAAGTACATTAGATCAATCTAGCAGAAGATATAGCTTAGAACGCAATAGAATCAATCAAAAAGTAGATCATAATCAACTAATCAAACTCGACTAAGCACAAATCAATCATTAAAATCATCAAACTGCGAAATTTCACAGATATAGAATTAGAAAATCATAGTGTATCTAGAAATTCAACACCTAAACCCTAGCGAAAGAATCAGATCTCGTGTTTTCTTCTACCATGAATCAATCAGTTATACTCCTATTTGTCACACCATAACAGGCTATTCCATCCTCTCTCTCAAGTCCCCAAAACTAAATACAAAAATGAATAATGTACAGTGACAAACCCATGTTGTAAGCATATATAACTCACCACAACATCCTATTCAGAATTCATCAAATTTCATTGTTCACTTAATTGATTACCATTAACAACCCATTCTTTTGGAGGACTTTGCCGATGACAACTAACCGGTGAGAGAGAGAGAGAGAGAGAGAGGAAGATGATACATGTATATATATACAAATTTTCCAATCAATAAAAGTGAGAGACACAAAGAAAAGCAAAATGATTCACAAAAACCCAAAACGAAACTACTCAGATATATAGAAAGATATATAAATAAATGTATATATATGTGTAAAGTAAGCAATTGAACGTGCCTTGATCTTGAAAGGGAGAGGGGGAAGAATGATGGTGCCCTTCGTTTGGAGGACTTTGCCGATGTTGTTACCGACGGTGGCTGCGAGCGTTAGGCAGGTCGACTCCTACAAAGAGAGAGAGAGAGCGAAGGTGTCGTAGAGAGAGAGCAACCCTGTAGGTAGATTTGTCTAAAACAAATTCAAAAGGATTTTTGATATCGCAGAGAGAGAGAGAGAGAGAGAGACCTTGGTTGTAGATCTGCTTGAAATGAAGCCAAAAAAGGGTATTTTTTGTCTTTGAATTTTTTAATTATTTTATTAGTGGGAATGAGTTGGAATGGAATGGTCATTCCATGTCCTAAAAAGAGGAATAAGCATTCCACCTTTTTTATGGAATGGGCATTCCCTGAGAATGCATTGGAATGGCCATTCCACTTCAATGTGATACACCAAACAAGGGAAAGGGAATCAGAAAGTGGAATGGTCATTCCATTCCAGCCCATTCCATCACACCAAACTAGGCCTTAGTGCTTAAAGTTTCAGTGCTTAAAATTCAGTACTTGAAATTTTTAGTAGTTTTATCAAACAACATTCTTGATCTGATGTTACGCCAAGTACCCGGCCTGAAAGACTTCCGAATAGAAAAAATAACCTGACTGCAACGAGAGCGTTGCGAGTTCATCGTTACACTAATCCACTATTGCCAAAATAACTTTAAATATCATTTTTAACTTGCTCTATATAATTGTCTGATTTCGTAACAGTAATTTTATGGATAGTTCAATTTTAGCTGGATAATAAAAAAAAAGACACAAGTAATTAAATAAATAAATAAAAATTCCCAAACAATTACGGTGAGAAGACTCGTGAACAAAAGAGCACAACAGTTAGTGTCTAGCCGGATCACGGGTGTTGTCACAACTAGTGGACATGCATATAACAAAAGGGCAAACATTGGTCATGTACACCAATATAAAAACTGGTATATTTATAGTACTACGTATTACATTCCAAGGAATGGGATAGTTAAAAGACTTTTATAAACCCAATTTGGTGTGGTTTAAGCTCTGTAAATTAACTTCTTGTAAATTGTGAAGGTTGAGAATGCAGTGGGAGGGGTGGTGGTGGTGGGAATAACCTTTACGGATGCAGAGATTAGTATACCTGCTCCTCAGACTCTGTAATGGTCGGAACCTCGTGCATTGTGTTTACCTTTTAGGATTGAACTTGTCACTGGCTCGAGCCTAACTTGAAATTGAGTTCTAATTATTATTATTATTTTTTTTTAATTGGTACTCACACACCTATGCCATCATAAAGGCTTGAACACTTGACCTTCTTTTAAAAAATAGGAATTTGGTAGCTGGTCACTGCCAGTTGGTCATTCTACTTTTTATATATTCTTATTTTAAATATATTTTGTATTTTAAAAAGATGATCAACCTTTCTTTCTTTCTTTATTTATTTTTTAAATCTTAGTTTATAGTATAATTAATCATTTGGATAATCAAAATCCAATTTTTTTCTATTTATAATTAAGAAGTTTACTTTCAATTTTAGATTTTTTATGCACAAGCGTAATCCAACCGAAGCTAACTCCAACTTAATTACTATATTTAGCTTGATATTTTAAAGAGTAAATTACAATAACATTCTTTGAGTTTTAAATAAAATACACACGATAGACCGTTCATCATTTATTATTTTTATCTCTTTTGAGATTTGATGTGTGCTCAACACCACCTTTAATATTTTCTTTTGAAAGACTTATTAATCAAATTTTATAAACTGACAATAAGGGTAGGTGTGAACGTTTTAAGTGCGGGTGTGAACGGTTTAGGTTAACTCCTGTTTAGGTGTGAACGGTTTAGGGTAACTACTGTTTAGGTGTGAACGGTTTGGGGTTTTTGTGGGCCCATTTGGAATTTTAGGTTCAAAGCAATCGTTAACCTTTCGGTGTTCATGTTTTTGGACTATTTGGTTCGTTCCTCTTATATAAAACCCCATCCCACACCACTCTGTTTTTACTCTACACAACTTTTTTTCTCTCTCTCTCTCTCTCTCTAAGCTCACAAATAGCTCTTCATTTTATCAAAATCATTTTTCTGGGTCATAAATTTTGAATTCAAACATTCAAAATTTTGCACTTTTAAATAATTTTGAATGGTTTTGGCTACTGGGAATTACAAAAGGTTCCATTTTTGGAAGTTCTAACTGCTTCTTTTTTTTTTTCTTTTTTTTTTTTGAGCTCTTCCCCTGTTTTTCACTGTTAGAATTTGGTAGGTTTTAGATTCTGGGTATTGTTGAAATTTAGCCGGATCACGGGTGTTGTCACAACTAGTGGACATGCATTTGAAACAAAAGGTCAAACATTGGTCGTGTACAACAATATAAAAACTGGTATATTTATATATTATATTCCAAGGAATGAACTGTTAAAGACTTTTAAAAACCCAATTTGGTGTGGTTTAAGCTCTGTATATTAACTTTTTGTAACTTGTGAAGGTTGAGAATAGAGTCGGATATGGGGTGGTGGTGGTGTGTTTTCACGGCATTGATGGGTGGAGTGTTTGGGGTGGTGCTAAAGAAGGCAAATGAGTGGATTTATGTGAGGAGTTTGGGAGAAAAGCAGTACTCTCTGCCTCCAGGGGACATGGGTTGGCCTTTCATTGGCAACATGTTCTCTTTTCTCATGGCTTTCAAGTTTGGTGGTGATCCTGATTCCTTCATTTCTGCCTTTGCCACCAGGTGCTCTCTCCCTCCTCCCTCTGTGTGTGTGTGTGTGTGTGCATTCTCTAATTTATTTTTCCATTTATCTCGGGTTTTGCATCGAGGTGCAATTTGATCGGACCAACGAAGAAAACTATATTGAAATTATAAAAATAGACCCACTATATAAGTTTGTCTCCACAAATTAAAAGGTTATTTCCCCTTACAAAATTTTCTAAGTCTATCACTGGTTTTGAGTATATTTGCTCCCCATAGAGGTTGGAACCTCGTGCATTGTGTTTACCCTTTAATGTTGAGCTTGTCACTAGCTCGGGCCTAACTCGGAAGTTGAGTTCTATTTTTTATATATATTTTTTTCTTTAGTTGGTATTTACGTATTCATATTTCTACGGTGACTTCAACCTGTTCCTTTAAGAAATAGAAATTTGGTAACTGGTCACTGTCGTTGGTAGTTCTACTTTTTATATATTAATATTTTAAATATATTTTGTATTTTAAAAAGATGATCAACCTTTCTTTTCAATTTTTTTTTTTTAATCTTAATTTATAGTATATTATTAATCATTTGCATAATCAAAATCCAATTTTTTTCTATTTATAATTAAGAAGTTTACTTTCAATTTTAGATTTTTTATGCACAAGTGTAGTCCAACCGAAATCAATCACCATATTTAGCTTGATATTTTTAAGAGTAAATTATAATGATATCCTCTAAGTTTTGGATAAATTATACACGGTAGACCATTCATCGTTTATTATTTTTATCTCTTCTGAGATTTGGCGCGTGTGCTCAACAATATCTCTAGTATTTTCTTACGATAGATTTGTTGACCAAATTTTATAAAATGACAATTTTATCTTTCTCTTGTATAAAATGCAATATAATATAATATTTTAAAATCATTATTGACTTTTTATATTCAAAGTCATTCTTCAGCTACAATTTATAGACGAGCCATTTTAAAGGCGGCCAAAGTGATAAAGGATCTATTTGTTTATAATAAAGATTAACGATCTATCTGATTCGAACTTGAGCTGTACTTGGGCTAGAGAGCTTGGACGGGTTAGGCTTGAAGCTTCTTTTATAACACACCGTGCTTTGAAATCACAACATGGAATCTTTTGGGTAAATACTCAACATTTAAAATTTTAAAGTATAATTATTTTTTTCTTCTCAATTTCCAATTAGCACGAATTTTTTTCAGAATTTAAATTTTAGTATTTAAAAATTTCAAAACTAAATTATTAATTTTATTAACAACCACTATACTTTTGTTATGGTTTGTCCTTTCAATGCTTTCATTAATTAATGGATTAGTAATTTGAAATCTTATAATCCCAATTTCACCCTTGTAGTTTAAAAGTGATTAAATAACGTAATGCAAAAACATTCAAATGAAAAATTCTTTTTAATGCCATATAATGGAAATTTCTGATGGTAGAGAGGTCAATCAAATAATATTTAAAATAAGGAAAGCATAAGTTGTGGTTTTGATAACTAAGAATAAAAATCAGTACAATTTACCCTTTTTTTTAAAAAAATTTTTAATGAAAAAATGCAGATACCATAAAGCTCGAATTTACAAGGCCTTCATGTTCGGAAACCCAACCATAATCTTGACAACACCGGAAACATGCCGGCGAATTTTGATGGACGATGAAAATTTCGGACCGGGTTGGCCTAAATCAGTCACAAAAGTAATAGGAAAGAAAGGACTGCATGGCATTTCCAATGAAGAACACAAACGTCTCAGGAGGCTAACAGCTGCTCCTATCAAAGGCCACGAGGCATTATCAGTGTACATTGATTGCATAGAGGACATTGCCGTAGCTGCATTTGATGAATGGGGTCGCCGGGATCGGCCGGTCGAGTTCTTGACTGAGATGAGGAAGATAGCATTCAAGGTTATCATGAACATCATTATGGGCAGTGAATTTGATCCTAAATCAATGGAGGCCATGGAAGAGGAGTATACTTTGCTAAGCCATGGACTAAAGGCCATGACCATCAATCTACCTGGATTTGCTCATCACAAAGCACTCAAGGTGAAGTTACCTACTCTTTATTAGTGATTGTTTCGAACATTTTTTAAAGTATTGAATTAATGTCTTAAAGCAAAATTGAAAAAAAAAAAAAAAAAAAAATTATTTTCAATCATAATATGATTGTCACATTGAATTAAAATTGGTTAAGGATGTGATATGTTGATGTGCATTATTATTGTAATTGGTTAACAGCTTAGACTTTTTCGGGATTGATGTTCTAATATGACAATAGAATTTTGGTTTTTGGAAGATAATTGATTATTGCATTCCCTTGTTGTTTGTACTAATTTGTCTATTTGCATCTTCACGAGTGAAACAGGAGTGTTACAAATCAATGTCATAGACTCATAGTATGATCAAGTTTCAATTGCTTTTACGTCAGTTGTTTTCATAAATGACAATGTCGAAGGTTTTTATTTCAAAAGTTTTGATAATGAAAACACAGTTGTCAAAAAAAACTTCCAAAATTTCTTGTCTCAAAACAGATTTTTTAAACTCTATTTTAAAATTCTATAAAACGGGGCTCACATGATCAAAGGCTAAACTAGTGCAATAACCGTTGCATTTAACATTTTTCGTTTTTTCTATTATTCACCAAAAGAACAATTTTTTAGAATAAAAAAATTTAAGACTATCACTCCACTATGATATTTTATAGAGACAAATATATTAATTGCTGTGTTTATTTTTCTAGTAGTTAATCTTGCTCACAAGAATATAATGATATGTTTACTGGTATGAATCGGCACCTTTAATTTGAGATGATTACTAATTTTTTTTTCAATTTCAAATTCAAGATGCGTTTTAGTACTTTATCCAATTTTAAATTGAAAACGCAACTCGATGCGGCTAACCATAGCAAGGAGGCTTGTTTATAACTTCATTTTACTTTTTATTTTGACCTCCTTTTGGTCTCAGGCTCGGAAAAATTTGATAAAGAAAGTAAAAGCTATTGTGGATAAAAGGAGGGTGATGATGAGAAGTAGTGAAGCAAAGGTAAAGAAAGATATGATGAATTTACTTATGGAAAGTGAAGACGAGGATGGTCGAAAACTAAGTGATGAGGAGATCATAGACTTGGTAATTATGTATTTGCTTGCTGGTCATGAATCTTCTGCACATACTGCAACTTGGGCAATCGTCTTCCTACATCAACACCCACAATTTTTGCAGAAAGCCAAGGTCGGTAATTAATCTAACCAGTGCAGCATAATGTTTCTGATTCATAATTGAAATATATAATTATATTGCCTAATTGAATAAGATGGCCTGGTTTAAGAATGTAGAACGAGCTAGGTTTCGTTTTGTGAAATAACAAGACTGTTGTCATTTAGTGGTATATCATCGCCTTCCAAAGTAGAAAGGTTAAGGTTCGAGACTCATAAGGAGGTGCACTTGTAGTCGACAAGTGAGTTTCCTGCCAATGTATTTAAAAAAAAAAAAAAAAAAAAAAAAAAAAGTAGAAATTTTGTTTTGTTTAAAGTTGAACACACCGGAATGTTTTGTGTGAGTGGGAGATAACGTGATCATGATGACTGCCATCATAATGATATCATTTCCATTCACATAAATATTGTTGGATGTGTTCGACTTTCAGACACTGCATCACATTTCTTTGAAAATTTTCCCGTAAAGTAATTTTGTTGGAAAATACTTTCATATACCAAAAGCCAAAGGTCTACAGGACTTCCTTTCTGTGCTTTACATAAACCTAAAACAAATGCTTCACCTTTCTAGACATTTTTACTAAACTTGGTCTTTCAGGAAGAGCAAGATGATATTGTAAAGAGGAGACCATCCACAGAGAGCAGACTGAGCCTGAAAGAGATTAGACAAATGGAATACTTATCCAAGGCAAGTCTACAAACATTTCAAGCTTCGTCTGGGAAAGCTTGTAGCTTCCATGGCATTTTGTTTGACACTATATTTCAAAACAACTCATAATGTTTATGACAAACAAGACATCTTTGCTTTAAAGGTAATTGATGAAACACTGCGCTTGGCGAATATCTCATTTACACTCTTTCGAGAAGCAAAAGCAGATGTCAACATTAATGGTTAGTCCTTCCTCAGGACTTATAAATTCTTCATTTTCTCTCCTCTTGTTATTATGATCTATTGAAATAAACCTGTTGATCTTTCAAGGTTACACCATACCTAAGGGATGGAAGGTTTTGGCTTGGATCAGGAATATTCACGTAGATCCTGAAAATTACCTCAACCCAAAAGAGTTTGATCCTTCTAGATGGGAAGTAAGATTACCAAACTAATTTTGCAGCTTAAGACAAGCATTTCTTTGATGAATAACTTATCAGTCAGTGTGTGTGTGTGTGTGTGTGCATTTTGAGCATGAGAGTGATCTATCATTTTATATGTTTTGAACTATATGTAGGATCATAAAATCAGACCGGGCGCCTACATTCCCTTTGGAGCAGGAAGCAGGTTGTGCCCTGGGCTAGATTTGGCCAAGCTTGAAGTTTCTGTGATCCTTCACTACTTTCTCCCCAACTACAAGTGAGTTTCACTGTTCAGTTCTTCTTATTGTGGTTTTCTGCTCTATCTTCTAAATGAAAACAACGTTAGATGAAGGAAAAAGGTTATGCATGTGTATGTGGTTGTGTGTGTATATGCATACAACACACACATACCTCCTGAATGTATAATAATGTGAAACCCTAAGCATAACTTTCTTAATTATGATTGAAATCTTCATGCACAGGCTTGAGCGACTTAATCCCGGATGTGGAGTGAAATACTTACCGATAACAAGGCCTGCTGATAATTGCCTTGCAAGAATCAAGAAGCTCTCAACATCATCCAGATAAACTTGGTTGAATACCATTCCCCTCTTTCCTATAACTCTTGTATACATAGAGGGGAGAAACCAGTACCATGTAAATCAATTACAATATATTTTCTTTTTTATATTAGCATTTGGTTGTCCATTGAAAACTGCTATTTTCACTATGTTTTGAATAAAATTTAAAACTACAAATGAACAATTTCTGATGGAACCACTATAGAAATGTAATAACTAACAATTCCCCAAAAGTACATCTATAGAAAAATAACGATGGTTACTCTTTCTTGCTTAGCAACCACTGCTCACTTTGCTGGAAAAAAGTATTGAAACAAAATTTTCTGCACATTCCAAATGCAAAAGTTCCTAATAAAATGCTGGGTTTTAGTACATTCGAAAAAGAAACTTTTACCAATGAAGCCGTTATGTTCCAAAAGGTGAACCCACAGTGAAATTTGTAGAGCACAAAAATAAGGGGTAAACGAGGTCTGAGATTGATGGAAAAAAAAATCATAATTGAAAGAACACGGAAAATAGAAGACATGGAAAGTGAAAAGGCAAAAAGGTCTAAATTGCGTTCAGAAGCAAAAATACAAAAGAGGGGAAATGGAAGAGAGACAGAAAGAGAGATACAACAGCATATTAAATAGCCAGAGCCAGCATTTCTGTATTAATTGACAACAAATTCTTAAATGGTACTAACCTTCAAAACCAGCTAACCCAAAGTGAATGCGGTAACTCGTTCTAATTCTAATGGTGTTCTTCTTCGCAGAATTTCGTGTACTCCTTTGGGCCCATCAATGACTCCAATTCTGATAGATTGCTTGGCTTCACTTTGATCATCCATCCTTCTTCATACGGACTTGAATTGATCTTCATTACAAATGTGACTAAGTTAGAAACCCAAGAAAGAAATGCAGCATTTGATTATGAGAGTAGATAAAGTAGAATAGTAAACGAGCAGAACCAAGTCGAACTTAAGTTTGGTTCAATGAACGATGATCAAGTTCGAAATAATTATCTATCAAACTGAGTATGAACCAGCCTCTAACCCAGCCAATCATGAGCAGAGCTCAGGTTTTCTGGTTTCTCATATGGTCTCAGAATGCTTCTTAGCTTATCAACTTGAACCAAGCTAGAAATGAAGTCGTTACATTTTAGTTTTGAAATGAACCTTTATTTAAACTTTTTACTATTTTTCAGCAACCAAACAAAGTATAAAGAGCAAACAACTGGGTTGGAGTGTGATAGTTACCAAACCAGGTGATTCAGTAAGCTTTGAGTTAACCTCGACAATCGCGCCTGAGATTGGGGAATTAACATCACTGGTTGCTTTTACACTTTCCACAGCTCCAAAGCTGCCTTCTTTCGACACTGCGCCTCCGGGTTCTGGTAGCTCCACAAACACTACTTCTCCAAGATGGTCCTGTAAAAGGAAACCAATTTTTACAGTTCAATTTCAAATGTGAAAGGGCAACTAAAACTTGTCCTATGAAAGAAAACCAATTTATACAATTCAATTTCAAATGTTAATGAGCAATTAAAAATTGTAAGTAAAAGAAAGTAAATTATAAAAAGTAAGAGCATCATAACTAGAAATACTATGTGCAATTTTATTTTATTTATATTTGATAATTAAGTATGTATTAACAATTGAAAAATTACATATATTCAAGGGGCATACCCTAGGAAATTACATAGAAAAAGTCTCATAGCCACCGGTCAAGGAAGAAACAAAAATAAAGCCCAAGTAAGCTGTGACTTATCCAATAGTCGTCATATAAAAAAGAAAGTTAATTGTTTAATCTCTTTTCAAACAATAGTTTGTATATATTAAACAAAATTAGAGCAGTCTGGTTTTTCATTCTCATATGGCTTTAACTTTTATCAAATCTTTTAGTCACCCCATTAGTTATTAAACTTATTACTTTAACAAAATGCACAATAACAAACAGAGAATATTTAGAATAGATTATACAAGCAAATACAGACATACTAAGTCCTTCTCTTTCAAGATACATAAAAAGTCAAAGCATTCACCCAAAAAAAAAAAAAAAACTCTACCTAATGTTGGTCCTAATTAATTGAGGATATTGAAGGGATTGATGGGCACAAACCCAAGTTTTGACACCACTTTGGCAGTCCTCATGCTCAAGTCTGTCCTCTCAAGCTTGGCAATCCAAATTTTTACCACTACACTAAACAATGTGAATATTCTTCAGAAGTAGTAACTAAAGTCACATTCTTTACCTACTGAACAGAATCCCAGTCTTTGCAATCGAGATTTGAAAGTATACTCTCTATGTATTTTCTAGTGAATATGTTCAATGTTTTAAATTTTTTATTTTTATTTTATAGTAATTGCTAAGTTGTGGCAAGTGGCTTAAATAATGTAAAATCTAAACCATTCCATTATGTTCCGTTACCCCTACCTCCAGTCAGGTAATTTGTGGCTACAACATACTGATTCTAGTGAATTTAGTCCACAGTCCAACCAATAAAAGAAACAGAAAAATGCAAAGAACATAAATATATAAAATCACTATAGTAAAATAATGAGATATCATTATATCTAGACCTATTTAAATGATTTCACATTTGTCTCGGCCTAAATGTCAATTCCACACGCAAAAAGATTAGTCACTTGTGAGGCTCTCCGAAGATCACCCTGCAACAGCCTTACGACGCGACACAACGTGAGACAATAAAATAATGTTGTAATGTAGTCGTTGCATAAGCCATATAAAGTTACTGCATAAGCGATTTGAAATTGTTGCATAAGTGATGTAAAAGCACATAACCCGCTACATGATGAAACAGCACAGGAGAGGTATCCGGTTCACCCGGTACATAACACATCTGCGCGTCCATATAATTGTACCTCAGGCCACTCTAAGCTAATAAGCCCATTGCATGAGAGGTATCTCAAAATACTATGACAGTGATGAAAAAATTGTATCAACAAAGTAGAAGTCATTTGGCTCAATATTCTAATGAAAGAATGACAATCATACAAACAATTTCACAAATACACTCTCTACAGTGCCCCAACACATTCAAAAATGGAAGCACAGAGAATAGAAATAACCTGAGCATGATCAGTGATGCCAATTGTAGCCAATGGACCCTCATACTTCACCCATTCATGTGAAGATGCATACTTCAACCCATCCAGAACTGCAAATCCAACATAATTCCATTCAAAAGTATATTAAAACACACACACACACACACATTTTTGGTGAAAAAATGTTTTTGTCAAAGGACATAGCATCTTTAATTTTTTATGGAAAAAAAAAAAAAAAAATTCTTAAAGCAGCACTTGTAATGCATACACTATAAATCTAGAGAGAGAGAGAGAGAGATGGAGAGAAGAGTACCAGTAGAGAAGCATCTGGAGAGAGAAAAGGCGGGAGCAAGATGAGCTTTGGATGAACAGGGGACTCTTAGAGCATTGGCTGTAGAAGCAGCCCACAATCTGAGTGCCATGTTATCTATCTATCTCCTTTACTCCCAAGTTGCAGTCACGAACCCGAAAGGCAAAGTATCAAATTCTGGAAGATGGAATATACATACACTATATAGCCTGCTTTTATTATCTTGGATGGATGGTTGGCAACGAAAGTCTCATCCTCCTATGCTAGGACCTAAATTTAAAGACCCATTGCACATGTGTTGTTAGAGTCTAGACACATGTCTATAATTGTTGTCAGATCCAACCATAACCTAGTAGGTGGGACAATTTGTCAAGTATTATGTGTGCGTCTGTCTCACAAATAGATCATTTTTCTGTTTTCTGTTCATTGATATTTTTAACTGTGACCACAAAAGCGTGAAATCAAAACGCAATCAAGAAGAAAAAAATAGAAATATAAAAATATACAATACACCGAACATAAATGATTCGCCGTATGCTTATTTCTGCTGCGAAGATCCCGTAAAATATTTTACTGGGAGAAGAAATCGTTGAGTACAAATATATAATTTTTTATTTTAATTTTTTCAAAAAATTTAAAATAGATAGGTAATTTTTACAATTTTGTATAATAAAAGTATATTAATAAAAAGAATATAAAAACTAATTTTTTTTTCATTCCAACCAAACAAAAACAAATTTATTCTTTTTACTATCCATTAAAATAAAAAATACAAGAAAACGGTACAACTTCTCTTTACTAGGAATGATTCATCCATTTCTCCCCTTCTCTTCCATCCCATTTTTTCATCCTTTAAAATGAAATGGTACTCTCTAAAATAATTTTCAATGTTATCTCATCCCACACTACGAATCACAAATACCCTTATTATATATTGTACTGCAAGAAGGTCCCACTCCACGACCCAAAAAAAAATTACAATATGTTATGAAAACAAAATTCAGACTACATCTTTGTAGTCTTCACATGTACTAACTTTTATTTAAGATATGTCACATATCTCCTGTATACCTTAAAGAATGTGTTACTATTTATTACGAGTAGTTATTTCAAATACAGTCCAGTACCCAAGTCTCAACAATTTCATTGATTCGGGCTGAAATGGACCAAAAGTTCCAACAATAGGCCCAATGGTCCTCTGTTTCCTTTGGTTAGCCCAAAGAGCCGCAACAACAACTAACAATAGTCCGTAACCATGTAGACTTGGAAAATCTGAAGGTTTTATTCATTTATTTACTCCTACTAGGAAACGGAGTATTGCCGACGTATCCATAATTACGTAGCGATTGCTGCCGCCGGTAAATCGGCAACGTTGATCTGACTTTGACCACCGATTTTGATCGATTGCCATTCCCACCGATGGCCGAGATCGAGAGTTTTCACATCAACGGAGTGGAGAAGACGACGGTTGAAATCACTCTCAAAACCATAGGCCCTGCTCCTCCCTCTCGCCTCAATGTCTCCTCTCGCATCAAAGTATGTAAACACCACCAGCGCCCCCGCCCCCCCCTTCTTTTTTTTTTTTTTTTTTTTCTCTCTCAATTATATCCATATCTCCTGTATACCTTGAAGAATGTGTGTGTGTGTGTATATATCTTTTTTAATTACGCAACACAATCGTATATGTATTTTCCGTTGTTTCATTGTATCTGCATGATACTGTAAATTTGTATTTTTGTCCCTCTGATTTAGATTGGTGAATGACCTCTTTTTGAATGAATAAATCTTTTAATTTTGTTTTGATATTAGACCCCAATTTTATTTATTTTTTCTTTTTAGGACTAGGGTTTAGTTTGTTGTGGTATTTTTAAATTTTTGTTAAGGATAATGAGAACTCCTGAAAATGTAGAAACCAGTAGAATAAAGTAGAATATTTGTAGCACTTTTATTGGTTTGACTTACTTAATTTCTATGATAATTATTTTGAAAAAATGATGAATGTACATCAAATGTCATGACCCTCCTACACGGATGTGTCCACAAATAGAAGTGCCAACAATCTCTCCCCAAGAGGATGTGGGACGTCACAATTGTCCTCTTTTGGGACCCAGCGTCCTTGTTAGCGGAATCTCACGGGCTTGTGCAGGCTCCGCCATTCCGGCCTGGGATCGGCTCTGATACCATTTGTCACGACCTATCTACACCGTGTAGATATTATCTTCATTGCACACTTTCCTCTTGGTTTTCCTCAAAACGCATCTACACAGTTTGGGGGTGTCCACAAATATAAGTGCCAACAACCTCTTCCCTCGAGGCGAGTGGGATATCAAATCGAAGAAGCAATTTGAACTATGTGGTAATCAATAAATATACAGTGGGGCAGTATGGTGGACGAAAATAGCCGAAGGTAGCAAATTGTAAGTAAAAGTGTATAAACCACATCAATAGAGATGTCATAGTTTACATGAGAAATCCCTTAGACGTGAAAAGGACATGGATTTGGTCCATTTAATGTCTGCTAATTTGAATCGGGGGTTGTAATGCCTTCTAAAAAGGGAACAGTTTTTTGAAGCACATCAAACAACATTATTTTTATTGGGGAAAAAGGGAAAATTATATCACAAGGATATAGAAATTCAGAATGAGATTGTGATGAATGAGCAATAGATGAAATGAAATCCCTTACCAAAAGAATAAAAGAAGTGTTGCAATAGTTCTCCGGTGCAATATGGGCTTGTTTGGTTCAAACGTACAGTTATCTTATAAAGGAGTTAAAAAGAAGGCTGATTTCACATGATATTTTTAGGAAAGCTGTTTTCAGAGAAGTAAACCAAACATACTGTATGATTCTATTAGTATTCAGCTTTGAATAATTTTACTCTAATTTGGTGAAAAGCACAAAACTGAGTAAATCTACGTTCGGACTCTTATTGTTGTGATCCTGTTTCTTTATTCCAAAGATATGTGTGACCGTGTGAGTAGTGCGATACATCTCTAAGAGTCTATGTAAGGCAGTTAAATTAGGATGGCAATTAAGACAGAAAATTCAACCTAAGCTTTCAAGTTGTGTGGTTTATATAGGTTTTGGTCAGGCCTTTTGATGAATCTTTTGAAATTATTTTACCAGAACTCATCCAGATATAGTTTAGTTTGGGTTAGTGGTAAAATAGTTAATATAATTAACTCAAATTCGCCCAAAAATGTGTCCAATTTTAAAATTATTTTTTGTTTTAATTATATATTAGTTAATTGGATCAATTGGACCTATTTTCTTGCCTAGGCTTGTGGTAAAACACTTAACTGATTTTCAAAGACACAATAGAACAAGTACTGCTGCATCGCCATACTATTATTGGAAGCATTGGATTTTTGTCTATTAATGGTCTAGTAAGGATCATTTGACAACCCCCCAGTCCATTCCATTTCTTTCATTATTGTGTTGGATCTTGGCATTCACCATGATACCATCCCAGAAGTGATCGCCAAACCGAAAAAAGACATCATCAGTTTTAGCCTCCCCAACAAAGGAAGAGTTGAACTATAGTTGTCTAAAATAAAAAGCAATTACAATAATCGACCATGAAAAGCTTACCCCATCCCCCAAGTACTTCCTCTTTGTGCATATTAGATGGATCTGTGTGTGTGTGTGTTTGTCATGCATTCATGTACATGCATGTGTACGTATAGTTGTTTTGATGGACAAGCTCAGAAAGACGGGATTTGAATTTGTTTGGAACTAAAAACCTAGATAACGTTTAGTTCAGATTTCAGTTGTAAATGGACAAAATCAATATGCTGTTGTTTAAATTATCTTTTGGTTGATAACACATATGTTAGTTTCCAATCTTTTATGACATAGGGAAACTGTATCCGCATGCATTTGTCGATGATAACATTAACTTTAGTGCAGATGCAGGTAGTATTGTTCGTTCCATAAAAACCACTTTCACTATTGTAATGTAATATTTTGGTTTCTGCAATAATATATGACAGAGGTGCTTTATACGTTTAGATGTGGCTCACTTTGCTTGGAAATTGTTCCCCTCCTTCAGGAGTGATTTATGCATTGGAGGCTATGATCCCTATTAATACGATTATTTCATGCAAATACAGCAGTTTATATTACACTTCTAATGGACGGCCTTTTTTTTTTTATATTTTTTTTATAAGTAAAAAGTTGGCATTAATTATCCCCTAATCTCCTACGTTCATGGGCCAGATCCGGCCCAAAAGCTTAAGCTGATGGCTGGCCTAATTTTAATATTAAAATGATCAAGGGACTTGTATTACAGTTATGAATAGTATGTAGATGCTTCATACACTTTTTTTACTTTAATTAGTTTGATAAGCAGCTGTGTTAGACACATTGCATCACTATTGGTCTTCCATACATCTTAAACTATTAGAGTCAACTATTTTAGGTAACAAAATGTACCTGAAAAGAAGGTAAGAAGGTGAAATTTAGGTAACAAACTATTAGAGTCGACTATTAATAACTCATGTTTTTTAACCAAGTATTTCACAAAGGGTGAAATTTAAGTCTGATGAAACTTGTGTACAAAGGATTGCTGCTGCGAAAATGCCCTTGAATGTTTGTATTTTTTCATGACAATCAGGTGCATGATTTGAGAAAATTGATTGCTGGAAACAATCGTTTACCTATTGACAATTTGAGGCTTATTTTTGGTGGAAATGTGTTGCATGACAAGAAAAATGAAGTTGATGAAATCATCCAACTCAATGATGGAGGTATAGATCTAATCTCAAAGCATTAGTCTCTTGATTTAGTATTCTATTATGTTGTACATTTTCCCTAAGAAAATAACATGTGCTTTCGTAGATTGTTCGCTATAATATTTGAGGTCGAATTCCAGAGAAATGCGTTGGCTTGAGTTGGGCTGGACTAGGTCCTGATCAACCTAAGAACTGAGCTAATCTGAGATCATTTGCTTTATTTGTTTCATTTTTCATCATACTTGGGTCTCACTAGTTATGTGTTGATTAAATGAAATAGCTTACCAAGGTTAATTCAGAGCAAGTTTGGCTAGTTTGCTTAACATCCAATTTGAGAATCGAACCTTATATAGTTATTTTTATATTGAAATATTGTTAACTAGTATAAAAACACTGAATGCATGTTACTTTATTATAAGCTATTGTTATATAGTTGTGTATTTAGAAAAGGGATATTATAGATGCCTCTTTTTAGGCATGTTTGGTGTTCAACTTCTAATATGCAGGCACATCTTTTTCTTTTTAGATTCTTTGATTGTTGCTGTCAAACCAAAGCCACCTGTTAAACAGATTCGAGATGGGTTAGATGATGATGACGATGACGACGATCTGGTTAGAACTTAAATAACTAATTCCATATAAAGGAACTGATATTTTGCTTTGATTTATTGCAAAGGGTCACCTTTTTATTTGTTAAATTGCAGAAGTTTCAGCTTCCTCCATCAACAAGTCGGTGGAAGAGGAGGCTTTTCTTTTTTCTACACGATAAGTTGAAGCTTCCTGGTAAGCATTTGGCTTGATTTGATGCTTTATATTTACAATATATAAATAAATAAATTTTCTGACTTCCACTTATTATGATTGGTAGATATGCTTTTGATGGCAATTCTCTCTCTCAGCCTAAAAGCGTGGGCTGTTATCATTATATGGTTTATGTTGGCACCTGTTGCCCACAGATGGGATTTAGGACCTTTATATGTAAGTCTGCTTGTTTCTCTTTGTTCCATTTTTGTTTGCAAGCACAGGATACCGACTGTTTGTTTGAGGTGCATTTAGATTGCATGAGGATTGAGGAAGTTAGATGGTTCCATTGTGTTTTACATAACATATGAAACTAGTAGTTTAACCTGTAGAATGGGCCTTTGCTGCCCATAGCTTTTGATATATGTGGTTAATTCTCACTTTACTCATCTATACTTTGGGAGATCACATTCATAGAAACTAATGGGCAGAAGGAATGGTCAACCATTTTCGCCCTGAAATTTTTATGGATTACATAAAAAGCTAACAATTACCATGAGGATGACAAAAATGTAAATTTCACCATCTTCAACTTTCCTCTCCTTACCATATTTACCCACCTATTTTTATGAAAAGAAATTATTATATCACTTATATCTTGGTACTGCTATTTATTCAGATACTTGGGACGGGTTTTACTCTGATTTTCCTAAATCTTGGAAAGCGGCAGCAGGGTGACATGAGGTATGGGCTTTTATGGATGATGTGTTCTCGATATGATGAAGTATGGTTATTGTACTTGTTGAACTGCGGATGATTCAATTATTCCTTTATTTTTTCACTTGTGCAATGCTTGATGTCAAGGTATCCATATAGATATGTTGTTTTGGAGGAAGTCATCTATACATATGTGACCCTCCTCCCCCTTGAAATTAATAAATAAATAGTTGGCATTGGGAAATAGGAAGTGTGTTGAAGTTAAGAGCTAATATGTTTGAAGCTCTATGATGGTGATGGTGATGGTGATGGTGTTCTTGGTACTGTCTGTTTGAGATGGATAAGGGAAAGCCCCTGTGGTTTAGCTTGGCTCCCAAACCATGAGTAAGCTGCCTTGTACGGCTCTTCCTAGGAACTTGAAGCCCTCTCTAAATAGAAATTTAAATCAATGCATTTACAAGAAAAAGAGGACTTTCAGAAAGCCATAACCCTCTATTCAATGGGGCTTTTAGAAAAGGAGCTTTGTTCTTTCAAACTTACTTCATGATGTCAAATTGATCAATGTCAAGCATATAAATTCTTGATTGACAGTTTCTTATTAAGCAGAATTGTCTGACTTATTGATCATCCTCAATATCTGCAGTGCATATTCTATTTTCAATGAAGATTTTAGAGAGCTTCCTGGGACCCTTAATGCAGATCGTCTAGACAGAGACATCCGAGCAGGTCAGATTTG